AGGGAAGCATAAATGAATGTATGTTTTAACTGAGAAATATTCTCCAGAGTTACACATCTAAAATAGCCCAATGAATCTTAATTTTTAAGATAATGTTATAGCTCTGTACAGTGGGGTCTCTACTTAAGAACTTAATCCGTATTGGAAGGTGGTTCTCAAGTTGAAAAGTTCTTATGTTGAATCTGCATTTCCCATAGGAATGCATTGAAAACCATTTAATCCGTATTTGCTCTTTTCCGTCCATAGAAACTACAGTGGAACCTCTACTTAAGAACTTAATCCATTTTGGAATGGTGTTCTTAAGTTGAAACGTTCTTAAGTTGAAGCAAAATTTCCCATAGGAATGGACTGAAAACCAATTAATCCGTTCTGGCTGTTTTTTGTTATGTAGAGGTGCGTTCGTACATTGAAGCATTAGTTCCCATAGGAACTAATGCAAAGCTGGTTAATACATACTCTACCACTAGGGGGAGAATTTTTTTTAACCTAAGATGACCTAAGGTTAAAAAAAGAGCAGGAAAGGTTTTTTTTTCCTGTTCGTATCTTGGATTTCTGTTCTCAAGTAGAAGCAAAATTTAGCAAATGGAGCTATTCTTAAGTTGGATTGTTCTTAAGTAGGGACGTTCTTAAGTAGAGACCCCACTGTACGTGTGTATGTGCACATGAGTACAAACATATATGTAATAAAATTGCCTCATTAACACTTCAAATAAGCACTTTGCTTTAAAAGATAAAGCAAAAAAAAAGGCACAATTCAGACAGTCGGTGCAATCCAGACTTATAGATGCACTGGCTATATAGAGGAAGCTTTCACTATTGATTGAAATAGCCTCCTATTGGCAGAAATGTCCTTGTGCCAGCTGAGCCCACTACTACTGACTGATCTTAGGAAGCTGTTGATGGAAACGCTGCCAGCAAAACTGTTGTATTGGCTAAGATTTGTCCGCAGAAGAGCCAAAAGAGACAGATAGCCCTTTCATATCTTACCAGGGTGAGGGGAAGGAGTTACAGTAATCTGTTAAACCTAGCTGTTTGTATCACTTTCCTTTTCAATAGGGTGGGTGTGCATTGGAGAAGTTTGAGGTTTTCCTTCTTCTTTTGTTGTTGTTGTTTAGGCAAACATATATGTAATAAAATTGCCTCATTAACACTTCAAATAAGCACTTTGCTTTAAAAGATAAAGCAAAAAAAAAGGCACAATTCAGACAGTCGGTGCAATCCAGACTTATAGATGCACTGGCTATATAGAGGAAGCTTTCACTATTGATTGAAATAGCCTCCTATTGGCAGAAATGTCCTTGTGCCAGCTGAACCCACTACTACTGACTGATCTTAGGAAGCTGTTGATGGAAACGCTGCCAGCAAAACTGCTGTATTGGCTAAGATTTGTCTGCAGAAGAGCCAAAAGAGACAGAAAAGTGGTGGTACAACAGAGGAGTAGTCTGGAGCCAAACTTCCTCCATTCCAGGGACAGAGACACTGTGCTAGCAGAAACAATGAGAGTAGCCCTAAATGATTCCCAACATCCTTAGGCTGGTAAGGGGTTTGGTTACCTTATACTGATATACTTTAACGTGGATTCCTGCATCGAGCAGGGGCTTGGGCTCAGTGGCCTTATATGCCCATTCTAACTCCCTCTTTTCTTTATGGTCCAGCTCTCACTTGCATACATCTTCTTTTAGGCAGCTGCAAATGTCATTTTAAAACTACACTTTAGAATCCAGCTGATTGAATTTGTGTGTATGATGTGCTATGGATGTCTCATATGGAATTTCAGTACGGCAAGTCATGTTAGCATTAGGAATAGGACCAGCTGTAGCTGATGGTGCTGAGTTTCAGACCCCATATGGTCCAGCTCTCACTTGCATACATCTTCTTTTAGGCAGCTGCAAATGTCATTTTAAAACTACACTTTAGAATCCAGCTGATTGAATTTGTGTGTATGATGTGCTATGGATGTCTCATATGGAATTTCAGTACGGCAAGTCATGTTAGCATTAGGAATAGGACCAGCTGTAGCTGATGGTGCTGAGTTTCAGACCCCACCCCAGTTTAGAGCCCTTGTTTTCATGTTTTTTCACTATATGCACAAATACGAATATGTACAATTACTTTGAGATACTGTATTTGGGTACAAATTAAAAAATGCAGACTACAAGGACCGCTCATCTGGTCAGATTGACCACTCTTTGAGATATTTCAGTACAAATCAAAAAATGCAGACTATAAGCAAATGATGATGCTTGAAGCAAATTGATTATGATTTCTAAGACAAATAAATCAGTCAAAAAGTCTGTAAGTCAAGCCGTCTGTAAGTTGAGGGTCCACTGTATTTTATAATTCTTTGGTCTCACCTAGTCAAATGTCAATTCAGCTGTTCCTCTGAAATCTTGGCTAGTTTGGCTTGCCTACCAATCCAATACCATGACAAAAAAATCCCACTGAACACAAAGGAACTTGCCTCATGAGATGTGTTTGGGCTTCCATCAGAGCTGAGAAACTTTGGTAGGACCAAGGGGCAATTTTACTCTGGCCCCAGGCTCATTGCAGTGCCAAAAAAACAAAAATCCATCAAATCAATTTGGAAATAGTGGCCAGAATCCTCCATGGGGTTACATAAATTGTGGTAGCAAATTGCCACTAATTAAGAAGTTACTACTTTCATTCATCATTGTTCACCATTGTTACATGGCTGGCACATGATCAGGAATGAATTTGTGTTAGGAATCTGCTTCAGATTTGGAATTTAGCTAGAACATGAAGTAGAGTTTCTAAACTGATCCAGAGAGAATCAAGAAAGACTGAAGTGTTTCTCAAACCAAATCAGGACACTCTAAAATACTGAATATTGCTTCAGCACTTTGGAGCTTAGAAAAGCTAATTTTTATTATTTACCTATTTGCTAGCAGCAAGTCTCACTAGGAAAATGAAACTAACTGAACCAGAAAGCCCAAAGGCAAAGGAGATTGACAGCTCAAGTGCCAATGAAAAGCCCGAGGTCTCATGGGAACCCCACTCACAGAACCTCTGGGCAGGCTCAGATCAATGCAAGAAGTTACTCCGTCCCTGTGACTGGTAGCCCTTTCATGTCTTACCAGGGTGAGGGAAAGGAGTTAATCTGTTAAACCTAGCTGTTTGTATCACTTTCCTTTTCAATAGGGTGGGTGTGCATTGGAAAAGTTTGAGGTTTTCCTTCTTCTTCTTTTGTTGTTGTTGTTTAGTCATTAAGTCATGTCCGACTCTTTGTAACCCCATGGACCAGAGCACGCCAGACTTTCCTGTCCTCCACTGCCCCCCAGAGTTGGGTCAAATGCATGTTGGTAGCTTCGGTGACACTGTCCAACCATCTCCTCCTCTGTCATTCCCTTCTCCTCTTGCCCTCACACTTTCCCAACATTAGGGGCTTTTCCAGGGAGTCTTCTCTTCTCATGAGATGGCCAAAGTATTGGAGCCTCAGCTTCAAGATCTGTCCTTCCAGTGAGCACTCAGGGTTGATTTCTTT